TTAATGGACTATGCTGAAATGGCTAAAATGACCGGAAGAGTCAGAAATCAGGAAGGCCAAAATTTTAACAAGGAATGGGGAAAATTTATATCTTACCTTAAAGACCATTGTAAATAGTTTAAATCATTAATAGGATTGGAATATCACTTGTAGTTTAAGGTTGAATTCTGGACATAACAGAAGAAGTAAAGGATCATAAAAGATGCGGGAGGAAAGAATTAACAATTGGACCCACAAAGGGGGAGGATGGAAGTCCAGGAGATTCCTTCGGATCTTGTTTTTATGATTTAATTTATGTAAAATTTTAATTTGAAAAACCAAATAAATAAATTTTATATATAAAAAGAGAGAATTATTTCTTATTGTTATCAATCTGTTTAATTCATTTTTCAGATAACGAAAGCTCACCCCTCACACAGCAGCGGTACGTATCCCAATAATGGATATCAAGGTTAGTATTGGGCATAGAAAATGAAATAATAATAATAATAATAATAATAATAATAATAATAATAATATAAGGGCAGAACTCAAAGAAGCCAAATGTTGCTGAATACTGGGGTCACCGTCTTTACTGTGTTTGCAAAGGCAATAAAGCTCCGCCATTCTATTGCAAAAGAGCCTCTTCTGACCTCTAACTATTCGTAAATGTTGAGGTAGCTTTTCAATCAAAGCAACTTCCCAAACTTTGCTATGCCATTGTTTCAAACTGAGTCCTTTTTAAGCTTTCCCAATGACTTAAGAATATGAATGCTGGAGGTTATTTCTTTTTGGAGGGGGGGGTAAGCTGAAGTGTAATAAAAGAAGCAGTGGCCAAGTGTGCCAGGCCTTCAGTCCATTTCCTACAATGCCCACAACCTAGCGTTGCACAGTGCATTGTGGGACATTAAAAAATGGGCTAGGCCCGGAAGTGCAGTGCTGTATAGAGCAGCCTTTCCTGCGCTTCCTGGGGTTGATGGAAATTGTTGTCTAGTAAATCTGGAAGAGATGCGGGTGGCACTGTGGGTTAAACCACAGAGCCTAGGACTTGCCGATCAGAAGGTCGGCGGGGCGGTTCGAATCCCCGCGACGGGGTGAGCTCCTCTTACTCGGTCCCTGCTCCTGCCAACCTAAAAATTCGAAAGCACGTCAAAGTGCAAGTAGATAAATAGGTACTGCTCCAGCAGGAAGGTAAACGGCATTTCCGTGCGCTGTTCTGGTTCTCCAGAAGCAGCTTAGTCATGCTGGCCACATGACCTGGAAGCTGTACGCCAGCTCCCTCGGCCAATAAAGCGAGATATGCGCCACAACCCCAGAGTCGTCCGCAACTGGACCTAACGGTCAGGGGTCCCTTTACCTTTACCTAAATCTGGAAGGTAGCAGGCTGGTAGAAACTGACACAAAGCACAGTCACCACAGCAAGGAAAACCGACCCTAGCAGAGTAGGGGGTTCACCAGAAGACACTTTGCCCAGTTTGTCCTCAAGCCTGAAGCCAGCCCAGAATACACGAGTCAATTGTCCCTTCCAGTAAGCTCTGGAACCTGTATATTGAAGCCATATTCAGTGCTGGTGATTCACCTAAAGGCAACATGGCACCATGCAGGAAAAGTTTACCGAGTACCCATGATCACTTTGACGACTCCTGCAAAGTAAAGGGACAGCTCTCCAAATTATATACGGCCCTATGGAAGGATCAGCTTGTATACTTAAACTGCACTTTCAGCTTTCTCTTGATCCCTACCCCTTGTCTATAAATACTCCATTTTTTCCTGAAAGTAAGCATTTTAGTGAGAAAATTAGGGAGGGAAAGGAAAGGGGAATGTGGGCTGGGTTCCATTCTCGTGGAATCAAACGCCTATGAGGTGGAATCAAACGCTTTCTGAAACCAAGTCATTTGCATGGAGGGAAAAGAGGCGACATTACTCAGGGCAGAACCATGTATTATAAAGAAGGCAGGATGCGCACTGTTGTGGAAGCTGCAGAACCTGTTGGATCAGACCAAATCTCCACCTAACCATCTAACTTTCTCTACATTGGGCATAACTTCGCAATTTTAAATACCCATACCATAACCCCTCCTCAGCCGTGTTTTTAAAAAAATAAACTTTGCCCACCTCCCAAGAATGGGAGGACATGTCAATCTTGTCTTTTCTCTCTGTTTCTCATTTTTTAAACCAAAAGTCCAGTCTTTCACATTTCCACATCATTTCGAAATTATTGTGTGTTTTTTTAAAGAAAACACCAGCATTTGGGTGAGAATTTCTCTTCCACGTTTTTGTATGCAATTTCACCTAATACAAATGCTTTTTGCAAAGTGATTTCCCCCAATTCATGCATTTTTGCGTCTTATTTTCCACCAATATACGCATTTATTTGCACACTTTAATCAAGCGTATGCATTTTTTGTGCACATTATTTGGATGGACTGCAAAATCCAGAGAAGTGCAGATTTCCAAGGATGGCTGGTCCATGTCTTCTTCCGAGATTTGCAAATTAGGTAGATTTGCCTTTCAATGTGGACAGATTGTCTTTCAATGTAAAATTCCTTCCCCATTTTATTACTGCTCCCTCACCACCCACCACTCCAGGTAACAGCTAGGTCAACCTGCCTGATGCCCAGACCTCATAGCTACATATACTTTCCCAGCTTCTTGTTCTTTGTAAAGTGTAGCTCCATCCTCAAAGGCCTTTCCTCAACACCATTTTCTTCCTTTCCAGTGTTTGGATTATTTATTTATTGGCATCTCACCCGTTCAGGACCTCACTTGGGTTCTTTTGTTTTTGTTTTAGTTATATTTTATTAAATTTCAAAAGTTTCACATATACACTCCAATACATAATACAGTTTTCTTTTGTTTTGTCAACTTCCCACCCCGTTTTCCATGGTGCTTTTTTCCCATTTCTGCCCCTTCGCTGAACCCTAGCTTCTATCTTCTATGCCATAACAACAATACAATAATCTCTAATTCCTTCTGTTGCTCGTGGTTCAAATCCTGCCCGTGAATTCATCATACTATAGTATTTCTTTAAGTAATCCAAGAAAGGCTTTCATTCTTCCACAAGATTATCATCATTAGGCTCTCTTATTTTGGCTGTTAATTTTGCCAATTACCAGCCCACCACCTTACTTATTCATTCTTCTTTGGTGGGAACTTCTTAACTGGACTGGTTAAACCATGAATGTGGCCAAATACACAATAGGGTACTATTTTGTTTAATAGCAGAAGCTTTGAATAAAGCAGCCACTGAGGCTTACAAAAGACCTTTGTTCACGGCACAGTTTGCAATCTGGACATTTAATTTTTTATTATTACTTTTCCGAAGCATGTTGAAAGCGGGGTTTTTTTTGTTGCTGTTCCTTTTCTGCCAGGATATTTACAGCACAGCCTGGGCTTGTCCTTCTGACAGCTTCAGCACACTAGCTTTGTTGTGTTGTCAAGTTTCCACGCCCTAGCTCAAAAAAGGAAGCCACAATCCCCAAAATAAGTAAAAAGAAAACAAATGCCCCAGAAAACCACAGAGAATGCAAGAGTAAGGGATTTGTCTGCCGTCCCATTCCAGCAGGTCCCTTTCCCTCTCTCTGTAGTATTTGGAGGAGATTTCTCTCTGTGTGTGTCCAAAGCTTGTTTGAAGGAGCTACCCTGATAACAGAAATCCGCCTGAATCGATGGTGGTGTCAATGTGCAGGGATATATGTCCACAGGGTTTGGTGGGTATGCATGGCAGGACAAACTTATGAGCAACATCCATTCTGCACTAAGAGGGACTGTCAGGGACTGGACCTCAGAGGAGGTATGGTGGAGACATCCCACCCTCCTTCTCCTGAACCATCTTGAGAAGAGGAGGCTAGTACAGTGGTACCTCGGGTTACATACGCTTCAGGTTACATACACTTCAGGTTACAGACTCTGCTAACCCAGAAATAGTACCTCGAGTTAAGAACTTTGCTTCAGGATGAGAACAGAAATCGTGCTCTGGTGGCGCTGTGGCAGCAGGAGGCCCCATTAGTTAATGTGGTGCTTCAGGTTAAGAACAGTTTCAGGTTAAGAACAGACCTTTGCAGAAGGCCATGACTCTGAGACAGAAGAGGGGAAAAGCTGGGAGAAAAAAGAAGAGAAAGGTGGGAAGCAGCAGAGCTGGAGCAGCTGGCTGACACGTTATCATTAGAAAGCATTCCTGACCCTGCTCCTCCTGGGACCCGGCGTGCGTCAAGAGTAGTAGAACAGAAAACTCAGAGGCAGAAAGCACAGATCAGCCGATGCAGGGATGACGTACAATAGGAGAGATGGAGGGGGTGGGACTTTACTCAGAGAAACGCCATTGCTGGGATGGAGAGGTATATTGAATAAAGGACTTGGTAAGAACTCTTCCTGTTATCTGCTTCTTGGCTGCCCGCCAGGGGAGGGATCAGATTCCCAGGTACCTGCAGATGAACCACTCACTGAGCATGTGTCCTAATTTGTTTGCAAAAGGCTTCTGCATACAATGCCCACTATTTATTTGTTTACTGAGCATTCATTCTGACTTGTCTGCATGGAGGTTATATGGCCCCCACCACTCCATAGTTCTCCCACACTTTCTGGTGGATTTCCTTATCACTTTCATTTCCACAAGAAGTCTGGTGCTTTTCAAAGCTGGCTTGTTGCACAAGAGGACTGGAGCGCTTTGAGCCCTAAACTTGCCAAGGCGCCGAACCACATAACACCAGTCCTGAAAGATCTACATTGGCTCCCAGTACGTTTCTGGGCATAATTCAAAGTGTTGGTGCTGAGCTTTAAAGCCCTAAATGGCCTCAGCCCAGTATACCTGAAGGAGTGCCTCCACCCCCATCGTTCAGCCCAGACACTGAGGTCCAGCTCCAAAGGCCTTCTGGCGGTTCCCTCACTGCAAGAATTGAGGTTACAGGGAACCAGGCAGAGGGCCTTCTCGGTAGTGGCCCCCACCCTGTGGAATGCCCTCCCACCAGATGTCAAGGAAATAAACAACTATCTGACTTTTAGAAGACATCTAAAGGCAGCCCTGTTTGGGGAAGCTTTTAATATTTGATGAATTATTGTATTTAAATATTTTGCTGGAAGTCACCCAGAGTGACTGCGGAAACCCAGCCTGCTGTATAAAAGGGAAATCATCATTCATTGCTCCACCTACTTTTGCCTCTGGCCACGCCCACCAATGACATGTGGCTCCTGGAAGGTTGCTCAGAAAGGTAGGTGGAGATGCTTCTCCCTCCTGCCCTAGAGAAATCTAGTTTCATAATGATGGCAAATGTTTCTTCTTTAGAGGTTGCCCTTCATTTTGCTGTGGCCAAGTCAAGAGAACGATCAGGACAGAAGACACTCAAAATCTGCTCATGGATATGTGAAGGGGATATGTGAGTCCAATGTGGCTGTGAGGTCCACCACGGTTGTCACATGTCACTTCCAGCTCCTCTCATGCACGGTCCCTGCACAATCAAGGTACTAAATTGTGCAAGGAGACCCCCTGAGTACAGCAGGCTCCATGCTGCAAACATTGGTACCGAATGCGTGGGAAGCTGGAAGGAGCCACGTGACAACAATGACAAAGCTCCTTTACTGCCCCTTCATACAACTGAGCAGGGCTCATGCGTCATTTGAAATGGTTGGAAATTCATCTTTAGACAGAATCATCACATTCGCCTTCCCTGCCTCGTGGAGCAAGGCAGCCATTTCAATTGTGAAAGGCGCTTTGGAACGCCACAAAATATTGCCTCAGTACTACAGGACCTGCTGTCCCCATTCACTCCCCCTATTGCAATTTTGTCCCAAATTCTACCATTTTCCCTTATCAGTACTGATATCTATGGGTGGCACCAGTACTATCTGAGCAACTTCTCACTTATTTGGAAGTGCTAGAATTATTGGAATCACTAGAGTCACTGGAGGTGCTGCTGTCATTGGAACTATCAGAATCAGTGGAATCAGTGGAGCTGCTGGAATCACTTTGCCCACTGGAGTCACTGGAGTCAGAAGAGTTGCTAGAATCACTAGAGTCACTGGAATCACTAGACTCAGAAGTATTACTTGAGTCACTGGAGCTGCTGGAGTCACTGGAGTCACTAGAGTCACTAGAACTGCTAGAGTCACTGGAATCACTGGAGTCACTAGAGTCACTGGAACTGCTAGAGTCACTGGAATCACTGGAACTACTGGAGTCACTAGAGTCACTGGAACTCCCGGAGTCACTAGAGTCACTGGAACTGCTGGAGTCACTGGAATCACTGGAACTGCTGGAGTCACTAGAGTCACTGGAACTACTGGAGTCACTAGAGTCACTGGAACTGCTGGAGTCACTGGAGGTGCTAGAATCACTGGAGTCACTAGAGTCACTAGAATCACTGGAACTGCTGGTGTCACTAGAGTCACTGGAGTCACTAGAATCACTGGAACTGCTGGAGTCACTAGAGTCACTAGAATCACTGGAACTGCTGGAGTCACTGGAGGTGCTAGAATCACTGGAGTCACTAGAGTCACTAGAATCACTGGAACTGCTGGTGTCACTAGAGTCACTGGAGTCACTAGAATCACTGGAACTGCTGGAGTCACTAGAGTCACTGGAGTCACTAGAATCACTGGAACTGCTGGAGTCACTAGAGTCACTAGAGTCACTAGAATCACTGGAACTGCTGGAGTCACTGGAGGTGCTAGAATCACTGGGGTCACTAGAATCGCTGGAACTGCTGGAGTCAGGGGACCCATTGGAGTACTCTGGGCTTCCAGAGTTCCCTGAAGTGCTGGCCTGTTTCACCTCTTCCTCGTTTGAACCACTTGAACTATTTGGTTCTCCAGGCTGCTGACTGAAATTGCTCTGGCTCTCCACCTGCTGACTAGACTCAGAGTCATCAGTATGACCTGGGTCATCTCCTTGCATGCCTTCATCACTGAAATGGTAGCTGTTCAGATGATAAGGGACATTTTTTCTCACGTCAAACTCACGGCTGGCCTGGAAATCCTTGATGTGCTGTTTGCCAGCAAACAGATCTGCTTCCGAAACGATGGACTCCCTTGTGGTCAACACTGGACCATGAACTGCATTCTTCTCTCTCAAATGCTGCGAGCCATTTTGTTCCGCATTGCTAATCGTTTTGAGAAGCGCTACATCCTGGCTGTCAACCTCTTTCTCTGTTGGATATTCAACATAGGTCTCCCTGTTTTTTTCCGTGTTGGGCTGACTGTGGCCTTTGGCCTGCACAAAGCTGTTGTCCTCATGGAGCAACAGGCTCTCGGTTTCGTGCGGATAGCCTCCTTGGGAACGGATAGGATCGGCTGTAGAAACTTCTTCAGGAATGGCATATTCTTTGGTGAGATCCAGAAATATTTCTCCTTCCTGGTGACCCTCATCTCCATTCTGCTGGTTCCCATTCGTAACGGCAGAGCTGGTCTTTAATACTCCTTTATCTGCACTGATGGAATTAATATTGCCCTCATAGCCTCTCCTGAATAGAATTCCACTTCTCTGGATCTGTCACACGGAAGCAAAATAAAACATCAGTGTGTTAAGTCAATTCAAAGGTATATATGGAATCTCCAGAAAAAGGAGGAGGTAGTCAGTTTAAATCCTGCCATATTGGCACTAATACACTCACTAATTGCTCCTAAGTACCAGGACACCTTCCCTACATCGGCTTTCACAATTAACATCCTCTCTTACAGATTCTTATTTACACTCTTTTCACGTCACAATATTTATATTAACCCTGCTTCAGTCTTTAAGCTTCTACAATTATTCCGTATGTACTCAACAAATTTACTCCGCTCCTCTTCGAACTTTGTTACTTTTCGGTTCCGAATCTTGTAGGTCATTTTCGCCAATTCTACGTATTCAAACATTTTCGGCTGCCACTCCATTAAAGTTGGGATTTCCTGGGTTTTCCATTTTTGAGCCACTAGAATCCTAGCGGAGGTCGTGGCGTACATAAATAATTTATGATCCTCTTTTCTTAATTCATCCCCTATTATCCCTAGCAAAAAAAGCCTCTGGTTTCTTTGGGAAAGTGTATTTAAAAAGTTTTTTCATTTTGTTATAAATCATGTCCCAGAATTTTTTCATTTTTTCACATGTCCACCACATGTGAAAAAATTCACCCTCTTTTAATTTACACTTCCAACAAGCTTTGCTACTCACTCTGTACATTTTTGCTAGTTTAACCGAAGTGATATACCACCGGTACATCATTTTCATTAAATTTTCTTTTAAAGTAGAACTCTCCGTAAACCTCACACCTTCATTCCATAACTTTACTCAGTTATCATAATCAATATTATAACCAAAATCGACTGCCCATTTTATCATAACTTCTTTTTGTTATAAAGATTTTAAAGGCTTTATTAAACTTATTGCTGCTGTTTTAGGCTTCTTTTTATTTGCCATTATTGGTTGTATTTTGTATACCGTACTTGTCTCTTTTTGTAAAGCGCTATTGATGCTGAGCAGAAAGGCAGTATATGGCCCCATCTGCATTGTACTTTTAAAGCAACATCATACCACTTTAGCCGAAGAATCCTGGGAATTGTAGTTTGTTAAGGGTGCTGAGAGTTGTTAGGGGGCCCCTATTCCCCTCACAGAACTACAATTCCCAGAGTTCCCTGGGAAGAGGAATTGGTTGTTAAACCACACCAAGGAATGTAGCTCTGGGAGGGGAATAACTCTCAGCAACTTTAACAAGCTACAGTTCCCAGTATTCTTAGGGATAGGGAAACTATGACTGTTTGATACCGCTTTAAATATACACTGCAGAAGGGCCAGGAAGCCCATTAGTCAGCTATTGTTTATATCCTGCTGTTCTGCAGTCACACTCCAAGTAGCAGTCAACAACAAGAAACATGCCTAGAAACCAATCTATAAGATTAAAACAATTTGAATGCAATATATGATACACAGCTAAAAAAGAAAACTGAAGAAATTGAGATGACTCAGACGGTAGAGCGTGACACACTTAATCTCCCAGTATGTTTCCGAGCACAATTCAAAGTGTTAGTGCTGACCTTTAAAGCCCTAAATGGCCTCGGTCCAGTATATCTGAAGGAGCGTCTCCACCCCCATCGTCCAGCCTGAACAGTGAGGTCCAGTTCCAAGGGCCTTCTGGTGGTTCCCTCACTGCGAGAAGTGAGGTTACAGGGAACCAGGCAGAGGGCCTTCTTGGTAGTGGCGCCTGCCCTGTGGAACGCCCTCCCAGCAGTTGTCAAGGCAATAAAGAACTATTTTACTTTTAAAAGACAACTGAAGGCGGCCCTGTTTAGGGAAGTTTTCAATGTCTGACACTGTATTGTTTTTAATATTCGGTTGGAAGCTGCCCAGAGTGGCTGGGGAAACCCAGCCAGATGGGCGGGGTATAAATAATACATTATTATTATTATTATTATTATTATTATTATTATTATTATTATTATTATTATCATCATCATCTCAGGTTCATGTGTTTGAGCCACACATTAGGCAGAAGATTCCTGTGTTGCAGGGAGAAAACTAGATAACCCTTGTGGTCCCTTCCAACTCTATGATTCTGTGATTGTGGGTAAAATAGCAAAGTCCATCAAATGGATGTCAATAGCATGTCAGAATGAACAGGTTTTCCATTCTTGTTGAAAGGCGCTACCATGGAACTCCTGGGTTTCCCAAAGAATTAAGTCCATTTTCTGCAAAGAACTTATGCAAGCCACCTAGTTTTCAAGCACGCAAGTATTGCAATTTTCAGGACTCTTAAGATGTTTAAAGACTGAAGCATTTTGGATTGCACCCAACAGAACTTAGCTGCGAAAGGAAGCAAGGCGGAAGGCTCTGGTCAGTCATGAAAGACCTGCTCTTGTAGGCTAAGCAGAAGCTCGGAACGTTCCTTAAATCTTTTATTTATCTGGTGTTAAGACTTTTCATATTTTGTATACTTACTGGGGAAGCAATGGCTATACCAATGATATATATCAGCAAAAGCAGAGTCTTCATGCTTGGGATTGCTTTCTGTGAGGAAATGGAAAATGTATTATATATTTCACTACTAACACTGAGTATTTAATTACATAGCAGAGATATACAAGGAGGCTCATATAGGTTGCATTGGGGCAGGGGGGCTATGGCAGAAGAACCAACAAGTGAACCATTAGGGGAAATAACTAAATAACGAAAAAGTATTATTCATATTGACCAACAATCAAAACTGACATTATAATATTGCCATAGAATGCAAATAGCACCCTCAGTTGAAGTATATAAAAATCCCAACGGAACAACTATGCAACAAGTATAGAAGCAGATGTGTTATGTAAGATTAGTTTTGAGGATCTGATCGAAGCCTCTGAAATTAGAAAAAGTAGGATAATTTTTTCAAATATAAATAAAGTGGACATATACAAAAATGAACATTATTTTCCATCTTACCGTAGGCTTCATTTCATTTCAAAAAATAAAATTTTATTTTATAGTTTATTATTGTTTATATTTTGGGTTTTTTGCCAACTTAGCAGTTGGAAAGCACACCAGTGCAAGTAGATAAATAGGAACTGCTGCGACGGGAAGGTAAATGGCATTTCCGTGTGCTCTGGTTTCCGTCATGGTGTTCCGTTGCGTCAGAAGCTGTTTAGTCCACATGACCCGGAAAGCTGTCTGTGGACAAATGCTGGCTCCCTTGGCCTGAAATGCAAGATGAGCGCCACAATCCCATAGTCGCCTTTGACTGGACTTAACCACCCTGGGGTCCTTTACCTCTACTCTTTTTTTGCCTTTTACCTCATATTTTGAATCAGAGACAACGAAGAGCAGAGTTTGGCACATCATTACATGTAACACAGACTCCCTGGGCTCACTGAAAGGTGGCAGTACTATTATGAGACAAGCCGCTACCCATCTGAAAATATACCAGCCTCTCCAAAAAGGGACAGAATTCTTGGAAATGTAGAAGTCTGCTGAATGCAAAATGTAGCCCTCACAATTACATTAAGTCCTTGCTTCTACCATGTCGTTTATATATAGGACGGAGCCCCCTGGGTGGCTGAAACTGAGCTCTGACTGTGAGGGCTCCTAATCTGTTATTTCCTCTCTCTAGAATATTTGACGGGAATTAGGGTGAGAACTGTATGTTGCAAGTGCAGGGTATTTGCATGCAATCCTATAAAATCCTCTTTGTTGCTCACCTGCCGGTCTCAATAAGCCTATTGAGACTACTTAATATGAAACAGAGTAATAATTTTACTGCCTGAGTAATAATACATTTTCCTTGCAAAGTCCAGGATCTGGGTTTCCTTTCTTGTGTTGAGAGAGTGACACAATGACAAACAAACCTAGTCACTTTTTAGACTGATTAATGTTCACTGCCCATTCTTCCAAAAGTGTAAATTATGCTGAAAACATCTGGCAGGGGTAGCAATAAACACTGCTGCAGCTGGCAGAGGTTTTTTGCTTTACTTTTTTTTTTTGTTCTCTAGCAGCAGAGCACTAAATGTACACATCGAGGCCTCAATTATTGACACCAGGCCTGGGGCTTGATGTGCCACCCAAGACCAGAGAAGCCACATCACTTGGTTAATCATAACTTCTATGGCTGACTAGAGGATTCTGCATGAAGCAAAGGGCAATCTTAGCTGGGCATTTCCCAGCTAGCACAGGGTTCTAGGCGTTGCAAAACCACAGGGGAGGCAGAAAACTCATAATAATGGGTTTCCTTCGGTCATGAGTGTGACATCCCCATTTAGGTGGAGAAAATGCTCTCCTTCTGTGGCTGGAAAGAAAGAAAGAAAGCTACAGGGGAAATCTCCAGACACATGAGAAAGTCCACTATTCCATATGGTAAAAAAGGAGGGCTGGGGGAAACCAACGTTCTCTTTTGAAAATAGCTAAGAGTCAATTATTGTGCATGGTTTAAGCCAATGTACCTATTGAGAAATTCTTTTCAAACCATTTTTGGCTTTTACAGTTTCCACAGACGGGTGGGTGATTCACAAGCAATCGCCAAGGGAGTCAAGTGGGTTTTGTTGGTAAGCATTACCCAAAGGGCCACAGATCAGTGGTTGAACATCTGCATCCCAAATTTCCATCGCCAGCATCTTCATGCAGGGCAGGGAGAGACCCTGGTCCAAAATCTTATAGTCATGGCTAGTCAGTGTGGACCATACTGAGCTAGATGGACCAAGGATCTGATCCCATATAATGTAGCTCCCTATGTCCATATGTTCCAAATGGAAATGTAAGCAGATGCTTCAGAGGAACCTTTAGAAAGGGGAACCCGAGATGAACCAAGTTTTAATGAAATCTAAAGTTTGCATTTTTGTGGTATCAGTCACTGAATCAGATGGCCACATCTTAATGTGGTAAGCTTCCTGCCACTAAACCTGGGTAACTCCCCCACTCAAAACCTATTAGAGAGCCAGCGTGCTGTTGTGGTTAAGAGCGGTAGACTCGTAATCTGGTGAACCGGGTTTGCTTCTCTGCTCCTCCACATGCAGCTGCTGGGTGACCTTGGGCTAGTCACACTTCTTTGAAGTCTCTCAGCCCCACTCACCTCACAGAGTGTTTGTTGTGGGGGAGGAAGGGAAAAGGATATTGTTAGCCGCTTTGAGACTCCTTCGGGTAGTGACAAAGCGGGATATCAAATCAAACTCAAAAAACAAATGGGGGGGAATTCTGGAGGCCACAGAAGGAGCAAAGTATATTTCTAGGTGGACAAAAACAACAACAACAACAAATAAGGCAATCTTGTAGGTAAACTGGTCCCAAGTAGTTAAGGGCTTCGTATACTAATGGTAATAAGGGACACGAGTGGCGCTGTGGGTTAAACCACAGAGCCTAGGACTTGCCGATCAGAAGGTCAGCGGTTTGAATCCCCGCGATGGGGTGAGCTCCCGTTGCTCAGTCCCTGCTCCTGCCAACCTAGCAGTTCGAAAGCACGTCAAAGTACAAGTAGATAAATAGGTACCGCTCCGGCGGGAAGGTAAACGGCATTTCCGTGCGCTGCTCTGGTTTGCCAGAAGCAGCTTACTCATGCTGGCCACATGACCCAGAAAGTGTATGCCGGCTCCCTCGGTCAATAAAGCGAGATGAGCACCGCAACCTCAGAGTCGGTCACAACTGGACCTAATGGTCAGTGGTCCCTTTACCTTTACCTTTACCTTTATACTAATGGTAACACATTGAACCTGAACTGGTAGGAATTCAGAAATGGAGGGCATGTGGGGGATGAGCTCATTGCTTGTGGCCTGTCTAGCACCACCAATGCAATCTAGACATGGATTTCATGTGCAGAGACTTGTGTGTGTGTGTGTGTGTGTGTGTGTGTGTGTGTGTGTGTTTACATTTAAAGTCAAATAGCATCATGGGGAGCCTAATAATTATCAACATTGCAGCACGCACAGTGGGAAAAGTTAACATTTTCCTCCCCTGCTGTGGTCATGAAGAGAATCCTGCCCCTGAAGCCAGCATTTGCCTTGGAGGGGAAGTCCCTGAGTGATGTCAATGAGCAGCATCCAAAGGGGGGATTTTCCTCAAGACCACAGCGAGGGAGAAAAGAGTTACATTTCACCTCTCTCCCAATGTCGGCACCACCAGCTGATGCTATTTGCATTTTTATTAAAACAACAACAACCCAGAGACATTTAAGATGCAATGATGCATTTGATATCATGCATATCATGCATGAGTTTGACCAAACTTCAGGAGGCAGTGGAAGACAGGAATGCCTGGCGTGCTCTGGTCCATGGGGTCACGAAGAGTCGGACACAACTAAATGACCAAACAACAACAACATATTGTAGACCTAAGTAAGACCATTGCTTCTTCTGATCCAGAATTGCTTGCTCTGGTGGTGTCCACACTAAGCAGGTATCTCTCCCAGTTCTGCTACTTGAGAAAGTTTATTTTTCAATGGCGATGCCAGCGATGGAACCTGGAACCTTCTGAATGGACAATAGCACAGGGGCTGCTATTGCCATAGTGATGATCTCCTACCAACCTGTCCTTATCTGAGGATGCCACATTTTTTAAAAAATATGGCTCCTGTGCCTTTATCTGCATTTACAGCAAACAGAAATTCAACAGGGAGCATCCCTCTTCACAACTTCTCCCTGCTGGGAAAAGCTGAAGCTGTTGAGATTTCTGCCTGCTGAGTAGAAATGATCATGTAAACTGATGATACATATAATTGTGTGATAAATTTGCAAAGTACCTCTACCTCCTTCCAGTAAACCACAGAATGCTAATTGCTGTTAACCTTCCTATGCAAAATTGTTGATTTTTTTTTTTAAAAAGCAGCTTTGCTACCTGCTAAACGTCAATGCACTCATACAAATGATCACTGTATTGGTTGTAGGAAATATTTGATATGTATACATTGTTTGTCCTTTTACAAAATTAAATAAATTCAGCGAGAAACCGTCTGTTTCAAAGTAAAGCACGTTCCACTTACCTTCTTTGCTGTGCTGCAGTGAACAATCTTAAAATCATTAGTGATGTTTTTTTGATGCCTCTGTGCCTCAGTTCTCTGAGGTAAGGACCCACGGAAGTACCCTGCAAGAATTTAAATCGTGTTTTAGCTTCTAGGCAACCAATCAAAGCCTAGCAACTTAACTGTGACTTCACACAGGGTCTTAAGCGAAAACCCACTAATCCCCCCTTTTGTCCTTGAAATGATTATGTGCCTTTGCACTAAATTGAAATTCTCCACTTCTTCCCCACTCAGGCAGAATGCTAGATAAGTATATTCCATGGCTTGTTTTTGCAAGATAATATATATTATGAATGCCAGGCAAATCCCCGCTTCTGTGATTACTATATTCCTTTACCTACGTTTTTCCTTTTGAGATATTCAGGTGCATTCTAACTGAAAGGTAAAATTTTAGTGGCACTCCTGATCCGGTTAACTTACATGTCAGCCTACCATTTAATAGCTATTTTTTTGTGTGATGCTCCATAATCAAATCTTCTAGCCTGGCTATTGTCACAACCCTTCCACTTGTTGAGACAACCAGGTTTCCCACTGCAATGTCCCTTGATTTTTGCAGTGATCAAAGCCTTCTCGGCAGCTACTTTTTTTACACATCACTTAGCATCCCATCTCTGAATAGATGATAGACTTTAGCCACACCAGGTTTTCGCACATGCAGTCAAACAAACTCTGTTTTCACCACACAGCTGGTCCTGGTTTTTCAATGCATGCTGACATTTTGCGATGTCACAGCTGACAAACCGTTGGAAACCTTTGTGGTGGCACAGCAAACTTTCAATATTCACCAAACAATTGGAATGTGGAAGGGCTTTGAAGCAGCCCTGTTAATGAAGTCATGTTTCATTAAAGTCTCACGTATTTAGGGCCTCAAAATCTTTGAAAGAAAGAAGGTACCGTAGAAAAGAATTTCCCCCAGAAGAACAATGTCCAAAACTCATTGGGAGTCAACTTGTCAATAAACCTTTCTTTCTTTTTTCCACCAAATAGTTACTTTAAAAAAAAAGTGTTTGTTATATATTTAACTGTACAAACTCTAACCGATAATAGAGGGTGGGGTTTTTTAAATATAAAAGATCTAATCATTGTATGTTCAGGTTAAAAATCTATAGAGTCATCGTGCTCACAATCACCTTAACATTACAGAAAAAGACTGAATATGCAGCCATTGACCTATCCCTCAGTTTTGGGCATATGTCCAATTTTGTCCATGAATTTGCCTTATACACTTTTGAATCCACTTAATGCTAACGACAAGCAAATTCCATAAATCGGTCATTTAAATATGTGCTTCCTGAGGTTTTCCCGGACATAACTGAATTTCCTGGACATAACCGAAAATCAGCAAAAATACGGGCGTATGGCAACCCAAAAATTTGGGTCAGTAGAGAAAGATTTCTGGTTGCTGGGCAGAGCCATGACAGAAGGCCACAGACCTAGTTACAGTGTGAACAGCATCCATTCTTTACAAGCCTAGATGACCCTCATGGTTTCTTCCAATCTACAATTCTATAATTCTATTATTATTTTTTGTATGTTGCTTGCTCTATGAGCTGCCCAGAGAACTCTTTTCATGGGGTAGCTATAAAAATGTAAAAAATAAGCACAGGGTTGTGTGAAACTGTTCCGACATTTTTATTGCTCATTTCTGACTTCACATTAACTTTTCAGCTTTCTCCCTTTCTTTTTAATTAAAAAAAAAAATCATACTAACGAAATATAAAATATAAAGACCTTTTTTCTAGCAAAGTAGCTCCTGGATCTGCTTTCTTTTCTTTTTTTTAAGCCACTGGTGTGTTTGTTCAAAATAGTTATTATATACTATATTGTAGATTTTGCAGGTATGTGATATATATACCTAATGGGCACCCTTGAGGGAACAGTAGTCATTACACTATTGAAAAGCGAAGCCCTGGAGGCTCTGATGAAATTATAGATTTGCATTCTCAGGAAGCCAGGGCTTCAAATAGGAAGGGAAGTCTGCCACCATTCAGCAGACAGACAAAGTGCTTGTTTGTAGGAGCCCCTTCTGCTAACAAACAGCCATTTCCCAGGTTTTATTGAAGGGATATAAGACAAGCCACCCTCAGCTGCTCAGATATTTCTGCTCTCTTAAATCAGTGGCACTCAGTGAGTAGGAAGAGATGGAATTGCCATATTTGTTCATCTGCCCCAGTGCCTCTCACAACCTAGTGTCCTACAGGTGCTGGCTAGAGCTGATGGGAACTGTGGTCCAAAACATCTAGACAGTAATAGGTTGGGGAAGGCTGATGGAGCTCATATTGTCCCCTCCAGCCTCCCCAGCTGCCCTCTAGATGTCTGGTCCTTTAGTGTAGTAGCTGCCATGTGTCATGAATTTCCTGAACATATATGTGATTCATGAGCCGAAAATAGTGTCTGGACGGAATTTACAGTAACCAGTTGAAATGTTCAGGCGTATGACATCAGAACTGTTGTTTTTTGACAAATTTCCTTCAAAAATAGCTTAAAAACGGAATTTTCACTTTTTGAAATATGATATTTCCCAGTCTGTATCTGTATTGGAGTTGTTTTGAATATGTTTTTGCTGTTACAGGGGCGTGGGGGGGGGTAGAAAGGAGAATTCCCAGAATGCCACAATCCAGGTTTGGGGCAAGTCCTCTCTTGTGAGATAAGCCCAGCAGAGATTTAAAAGCACAAAATATGCAGCAAAGTAAAGCATGGGAATATAGGCTGTTAGACCTTCCAAATATGCCCTGCCAAGCTCCTTTCAATGTTTCTCACTTCCCGTAGCGTACTACACGTTTAGTAAAATGGTTTACTTACAAATTCTTCAAAGGTCTGGTTCATGTGCTTTTTCCATACCTCAGTCAGAAAAGTTGCACAGGCAGTAAAACCTGATTTAGTTAACAAAGTGGTGAAAGTTCCTAAATTATTGGCATAGGAACACAAGAATGGCTGTTGAGAACCATACCAGCTTAGCCTCTTCACATGCTGAGTTCATCAGGTAGACTGGGGAGGGAACAAAGGCTTGATTACCTAGTTCTTTGCAATGTGAGAGGAAGTGAAGATCGCTATGCCTGGCTGGACAGATTACTCTATAGCAAGGTTTCCGAAACTTGGGTCTCCAGCTGTTTTTGGACTGCAACTTCCATCATCCCAAGTTAGCAGGACCAATGGTCAGGGGTGGTGGGAATTGTAGTTCAAAACCACTGGAGAACCAAGTTTGGGAAACCTTGCTCTATGGTATTAACTCCTTCATGCATTAATTAGACTAAAGTGTGATGGTTCTATGAGTTATTCCACATTTTATTGTTTTATTGCTGTACGTTGGCCACCATGGACTCCTTTGGGAGGAAGCTTGGGATATAAATTAATTAAATAAACAAATAAATATAAGCACACAGAATTTATTAGAGGGAGAGAAGCAGACAAGAGAGATAATTTTTAAAGATAAGTGAGCTCTTCTAATTAAATTTATGAAGAATAGATATAAGGTAAAGTTTCTCTATGTGGATAAATATACACATACTGTATATATAGTAGTATGTATTTAAGTAGTTATTGTAATTACATTGTATTTCTGAGATTGAATAAAAGTTAATAATATTGATAATAATTTAAATTATAGTAATTATATCTAAATTTGCATCTATGCATGTTAATTAGTCGATGCAAATTTTATGCAGTGTCGTGGAGTTCTGCCCCTGTGTCTCATATAGATACAGTGCTTTTTTTCTGGGGGGACGCAGGGGTACGCATACCCCTAAATATTTTGTGAATCTAAGTTTGGCCTCCTTGAGGGGTATTATTTCAATGAGAGTACCCCTAAACATTTTTTTTAGAAAAAAGCACTGTATAGATATACACAGAAACCTGCTTTGTTTGGATAGCAAATATTTCTGACGGAGAGTGGGAAGTAGTTACTTAAAACAGCATTTTCCCTCGCAACGTATCAAAATACAGCCATGGGTTTGACCCAGAGCTGTTCAAACATTTTCCTTTCTGCTGGATTGATTTTCAATTTCTATACAAGTCCTTATCCTGAATTAGTATTTCCCAAGAGCAACAACCAAAAGGTTACAAAAATACCCCAACCCCTCCAAAATGAAAAGGATAGGCATCTCCAGCACAGACTCCTAAAATACCAGGTGCCAGGTAAATGTTCACATCTCAATGCAAGGCATGAACTTAAATAGAGCCGCAAGCAAATATGACAGGGGACTTTTTCTGCACGTCAAACAGTGTGGGCACAAATTCTTCAAGTTTAGGGATGGCAAGGAAATAACATCACATAACCAAACAGATGGCCAAACCTCTGGACTTGTTTACAGCCACTGAAGAGCCTTTTGATTTAAAACATGGTGGTGTTAGTAGCAAAACCGATGAGATGTTGCATAAGGCTTTTGAATAGCAAAGGGCTGGTGTCTTCCTTAATATAGAAAACGCTCACTGTGGAACACTGGGGCATAGCTGTCAACTTACAGATTTGAAAATAAGGGACCAGCAGCCTCGAAAATAAGGGATCAGCAGCCAAAATAAGGGATTTTAGTCAACCAGCAGCCAAATGAAGCCTCAAGTCGTGGTTCCCATAGCACAGCAACCCAGCAAAGGGAATGCAGAAAGGAAAACCACCGTTACCTCTCCGCTGGGAAGCGCTGAGCAAAGGCGAGTCCCCAGGCAACACGGCCAATTTGATCAGCACAAGGCATGCAAGCTCCACCCCCCAGTCGTTCTTAGGCTCCTTATTGGGTGAGCAACACAGCCAAGCAACACAGTTGGAGCCTCCCTCCTCCCTGGCTGGCAGGGAGGGAGGGAGAGGAGCTGCTTCCTTTGAAACCCGGGAAATTTAAGGGACATCATCAATAAGGGACAGCAGCGGGACATGGTGCTGTGATAAGGGACTGTCCCGCCAAATAAGGGATGCTTGACAGCTATGCACTGGGGCCGATCTTTTGCCTTTATGCCACACCTTTGACAGGCAGCTGTTTATCAGAATGTTCTTTGGGGCTTCAAGGAAGTCTGGTTCTCAGGCTGTCAGTGGCTGGACTGAGGAGGAATGGTGGGGACGG